TGCCTGGGCACTGTGTAGTCTCTGTCCTAGGAGATCACTTTTCCAAATTATAAGACAAATGACAGCAACACCTCAAATTTCCTGAGCAACTTGATTTATACGGGCAAACTATTATACTTTTTAATTCAGCACCTTTTCAAAACACAATGTGCTGGTATGGATTCTTCCTCGGGGAAACCTCATTACAGAGAATTCTCATTTTGGAACATCATTTTCATATGCTATCTCCCCACTATCCCTTCTCATTATTTACAATAGTTCATGAAATCAATATTGGGTTACCTATAAGAAGCAGGTGAAAAATATAGCTATTTCTGAGAAAGGATATTTGGCTTTCAGTTTATACCAAATGCTGAAGTTATAGTCTATGGGGACTTCACAGGCTAAGTCAATCAGAAGTACAAAAAATTCTGACATCAAAAACCCTCTCACCAAATTTAACAGCTAGAAACTATTTTAGCAATTATAGTCTGAAAATCAGTGCAACAAAAATGTGTCCTAAGTGTATGTTATAGTATATTCTTTCAACTGTCTTCACTGTTCTCAATCATTGCTCTTTCTGTGAAGGAAATGTCACTCAAACCCCGTCTTTCAATTATTCTATTCTTTATATATGAACCTCAGCAATGAATAATGGGACACTAAGTTACATAATCAATTCTGCCCTTATCTGAAGTGTTGAAACCAGCACAGTGTTGGCTCCCTACACTATGAAAAATTACTGAAAAAAGAGAAAAACATTTTCTATTTTACTGAGAATATACAAATGCATATTAAATCTATTAGGAACATGTTACTAGGCAGTGTTCACACATATATAAGAGAAAGAGAATGGTTTTAGGGCCATTTATTTCCACAAATCAACATGATTGTGTAAGTTTGTGCCAACAAATAGAATCTTTGAAAACCACTCTGATGTCTTCCTTACCATAGCAAAAGTTTTCCTGGTTAACTTTTTCTTAAAAGTAATAAAATAGAAACACTTCACATTAGCAAATCTCCCATTTCAAGTAAATGTCTCTATTTTGTTTGGTTTTCTCCTTTTTTTGTTAATGGTAAAGATGTCAATACTTAAGAATATTGGTGAAATTAATGTCTTCACTGCACAATAGAACCTTTGGAAATATCTTCTACATAGCTATCACAGAAAAGGAGGGCAGCCACTCGCAAATATTCAGGAAGTGATCACCTGTATGAAGAATATGGCCAGGATGTTCTCACTCTCCTTCTACCAGTCTTTTTGGTCATGCCACTGCTTATTCAGAAGTTGACAGACAACTTGAAATAAAATGGTACACCTATCAATGTTACAGGTCAGCCTCAGCTCAGCAGGAGAGTAGATCCAAAGCTCCTGATGACTAGAATGCTTGGGGATCATCTGCGAATTTTGTATCTCGGTGGAGAGTTGAATGTGGTTCAAAGATAGGAAGTAATGTGCACTGACTTTGGTGAGAGTCAGGCTAATTTAAGGCAATATTGCTCCTCACAGACACTGCTGGTGTGAAGTGCAGGTCTCATCAGAAAGGTGACTCTGTAGTAGTAGTGAGATTTTCCCAGTTTACCCTTGTCCAGAATAAAATTTCAGCATTTCTAATGATAGTTGTTTAAAGGCCAGGAGCGACAACAGCCTCTGACTCTTCCCTTTAATAGTCTTACATATTACCGTGGATAAAAGAGATTCTTCCACCAAGATTTGGATGACATTGTCCCCCATGCAGCATTAACAGGACAGTCTCCACTTTGCTTCTACCTGCCCATCTTGCCTATCATGGGCTAAGAAGAATAGAGTATTCTTTTACTAAGTAAGATAAGCAGATATGGCTTTGAGACTCACAGGCACCACCAGAAATGAGGAGAAAATGGGATCATTTTATATAGTCACTTCTCTGACTATGACTAGTAACGGCGAAAGTACTGTAAAAAATCTTTTTTTCTTTTTGCTGAACAGGTTTTCACTTTTTGTGATCGTTTCTAAAACTCCTATGTCATCAGAATATGGCACACTATGTACAGTGAAATCTACCTGAACAATGTTCCCTTTCAATTTTAATGCTCCCTACACAAATACTGTCTTCCCAAAAGGGAAAAAGCCTTCGATTGCAAACTCTATTCTGTTCTCAGTCCTTCAGAAAGCTGTTTACACAGGGGTCTTACTCTTTTATTAGGCTGAAGATCTTACAGCCTATCTTCACAGTCATCTTTCAGGAAAATCATCATTGAATAATGATTCCATCTTGGTATTCCTCAAAGTGATTTTTTTCAAAGGCAACACTCATTTAAAATCAAGGCTTTAAAATGTTAACCACTTGAGTGGTAAAGTCAATGCACCATATTATAGTAGGTATTTCCAATTTGGCACAAACACAAAATTTAGAGAAGATTTGACAGTATTAAAGAAAATTAATTATCAGCTAAAAACTAGGTTTTTTTATACTTAAAAGTTCTGACTTTGAGGAAAAGAGATGGACAATAGTCAGCAATGAATTTATTCATCATCCAGTTCAGCTTCAGGCCAGAGCAGGGAAGAAGAGGGGGAAATGGGCTGGGTTCAGGATTTTCTAGAGTGAATTCAGTAAAAATAAGGACCAAGGTCACACATTTTTGAATATGTTGACCTAGATCCATGTGGCCACTGCCAGTCTGAAAAGGTTTTCCACCTGAGAGCATCTATCCCTATCTTCCTTTTCTAATTTAGGTATTTCTCTATGATCAAAAATCATATGGATTTTTTTTAACAGTTCATTAGTATGCTGCTGGTTGTTGTAAAGTCACTTGAGAAATGGTAATTCAATAGTATGAAAAGTCACTTTCTAAAAATCTCACTGTTCTTTTATAAGCCTTTATAATAAAGCTCCATAATACATTGTGCTTATACAACAATACTGGTGTTAATGGGGTCTGGTCTCCAAAGAACAAAGCTATAGGAACAGAAAGGTTTTCCAAGGCCAGAAGTATTAGTTTACATCAAAACATTAAAGCATAATGTGCTGTGGGCCTAAAAATTAAACTGCACATGTTCTAGCAGCAGGAATAAAACAAAATCAATGTAAAACTGACAAAGAGCAGAGAACACAGTGAAGAGTGTCTGGCAGTTCATTAAAATACAGTTGTTAGTTGCTTCTATAGTCTCAAAGATAATTATCACACTATTTGAATGAGAAAGAATAAGAGGATTAACTGGTTGAGTGTGATTTCTATTTCCTTATTCACAGGGCAATAATTGCTCTGATACTCTTAAAAAAATGTTTGCTTTACAAAAAAATAAAATAAAGATACAATATTTTAAAATTCTAATCTTTTAAAAACCTAAAAAAAGTGACAAATTTTTAATACAGATATTGAATAGATAACACAAGGGAAATACCACTTTTGGTCACTGACTAACATAGCCGAAACATTAACATTCTGGTTATATGTTAAGTGGCTTGACATTTTTTTGAATGAAGTATCTCCAGTTAACATTTTACAATAATAAATATGATTGGATGAAGTACATGAGAGGCAGAAGAAATGCATAATTTTTAAAGTAAAACTGATCATTGTATGAGATAGAAAAATAAACATTTATAAAATAAAAATATGGCAAATGATGTTGCCCATTTTTCTAATTATCAAATAAAAATACAATGTGTTTCTTTTTTAAAGTTACCATTAAAAAACTTTTAAGAACATGAAGCAAAATCACAGGGCAGATAAAGAAAAACACAGCATTGCTATAATTCAATAAGGCCTAAGCTTTGAATATTGAAACCACTATCTGGAATTTGACTTAAGGCCAGGACCTCCATTTTGTCTCCCTGTCCCTATATAAATGAAGATTTTTCTTTATTCATTTCATCACAGTTACATAAAATCCTGTTATTTTTCCTTTCCTCCATTTCTCCAAAATGACTATATCCCTTAGGGATAGAGATTATCTTTCTAGATTATCACTTGCCCAAAACATAATTCTTAGATGACTCTTACTCAATTTCCTACAATACAAAAACTTTATGAAATTAAAACTCTTTCTCAAAATGAGAAATTCAATCCATTCTGAGAAACTGTTCTAAATAGCTTCCTGAATATTGCCCAACTTTAAAGACTATCTGGAAAGATAAGGCAAACAGAAGGCAGTTCCCAGTGGGAAAAAAACAAGTAACTTTTTCTCCAGTGACCTGTATAATTCTTTCCTAAACAAACACCATATTGAAATGCCAAAAATTTCAGATTTATATAATGAAAAATAATAGCAAGTCAAGCTGAAGAGATATATTACATATGTGTATGTGTATCTGTGTGTGTATAGCTTGACTGCCATGTGTTAACTAAGAAGTATGGAAAAATAAACATTTCCATGAGGTTAGCAGCTACACAAAGACTCTAAATTTCTTGAAGATAAGTTTAAAGGTCTTGTACGAAGGAATACTAACCCCATTAACAAATATATAAAACCAAATACTTGAATAAAGAACCACCTGATTCAACTTCATGTTGAAATCTAATTACTGACAGGTTAAACAAAATATTAGTTGCCGACAAACACTGCTATAACATTAAGCAAGAGAAAAACTTCAATCTACAGCCAGAGAGACTGATGGCATCATTACTTATGCAATCATCTTCCAATTCCATTTTCCTTGGCTCTACAGGTAAATGTAAAACAAAAGAAGGGATACAAAGTTTTCATTTTCAGTTGACTTCGCACAAATCTGAGTTAAAATTTCAGAGAATTACATTTTTGCCAATAAATACTAACAAACGGTCCATCACCCAGGGGCCTCAGAAAGCCTTATTGAGGCGGCAAAAGCAGAGTAAGTTACAGAATGATATCTAGGCCAATTTCTGCAGAAGGGCTTAGAAGGATACACAGAATCTCTACAGACCATGCAGTATTTCAACTGCTCCAAGTGTTTCTTTTTTTAATATTTAATGGTTGTAATTCTTTTCTTTTCCTGAAGAGTACGAAAAGCAAAGGCTCTGTCCTTCAAAAAATAGCATACACTAATGTACTAGAATAGCTATTTCTTATATTCTTTTATTCTTCATTGCATCCGAGCACTATGTTTTACTTTGAACATTCATCTCCATAAAATTCAAATTGCTAAATAAAGCCTCGTCCCTAGATACTAATGCTCCATACCTAACAAGATGGTATTTTACAGAGCTCTTAGACACTACATCCCAGGAAGTATATGCAGCATAGAGATGGCCAATATTCAGAAGCTACATTTTCTTACACTGCCCAAGTGATCAAAAATAACCAAAACGTATGAAATGAATTAAAAATATTCACGGTCAAAAAACACTGGAGGATAAATCCCAGGAATGCAAACATGAGAAGAAAAAATAAGTGTAGAATGCATTCTGTATCATCCAGTAATATTTGCTATAGTGAGTCCATTTTTGAAGCAGATTCCTAGATTTTTACTGCTTATAATGAAAACCTGGGGAGAAGAAGAAAAAAGGAAACACAATTAAAGAAACATCTCTGAAACTCTTGACAGTTTTAATCCCTGCCCAGGCAAAATAATTCATCTTTATTTTTATGCATTTCAAGTGGTTCTTGTTTTCTTGATGGCAAAATATTTATACACAGAATCAATGTGTTATTTTAACATTATGCATTAAATGTATATGAAGGACAGTAAAGCATTCCCTCAAAAGTGATGCATGTATAATTTATGAAAGAAAAACATGAGCTACTTACAGATAAATGTGGGGTGGACAAAATGCCACTAACTGATGGAAACTGCGATGGGTGGGTTGTTTTGATAAACTCACCCCATCTTTTAAATAATGTCTTTTGCCTTATTCTCAATATTGAATAAATGTCAGAAGGGGGAGAAGCTTTTTAAAAAATGCAAATGACTGACAACTCCCACTCAGACTCTAATGTAATTAGTCTAGAGTGTCACCTGTGCAATGTATTTTTTAATGACAATAGAAAAGGTAATTTAAAGAAATTTTGGGAGACTATCCTTAGATTTGAAAAAGGATAATAAAAA